ACAGCAACCCCATGAGTTATTCAGAAATGATACTCAAAATACTCAAAACTAGTATCATGTGACTGCTACATCATTCCAGCTTGTACTTTCTAATGTCAGCCCTGGAGATACCAGTAGGTACTATTATTAGTAGTACCTATGACATATTATCTCCATTTTAATTTTTAGAAAAGAAACAAACATACAGAATTCAAGATACACAGCTAGTACCTGACAGAGATGAATTTTTTAATTTAGCTTGTTCCAGAACCTGACTCTTAATCACTGAGCTATATTGCCTCCCAGTATTAAAAAAAAATGCCTGTATAGCTCTAGGATCAGAAAGGCTGTTTTACACACAAACACACAAAACCCATAAATAAAAACATAATTTAATCACATCAAAATGTAAAACTATGTATGGTAAAAGGCACAATAAACAAAGCTAGGAGCCACTGGCTGAGAGAACATTATTTATGACACTCTAAGTATTAAATTTACACACAAGAAACTTTTCCTTACCAATAAAATAAAGGCAAAAACAAAAATTAGCAAAGTAGATAAGTAATTCACATAAAAGGAAACCAAACAGCCAGTAAATTATGAAAAATGATAACATTAACAATAATAGGATATGTAAACTAAAAATGACACACTCACAAGACTGGCTACATTTTTAAAAACTCAGATATTGGCAAGTAGGGTAAAGATGAGAAGCAACAGAAGTCTTCATTCACTGCTGGGAAGCATAAATTGGTAGAATTATTTTAGGGGATACTTGACTACATCTAATAAAGCTAAAGATCCATATATCCTCTGATCTGTTAATGGTATTCCTAGGTTTACATCCTAGAGAAACCCTGACATGTACATCAAAGACACATGAATAAGAGTGTTCACTGCTTTACTGTCTTGATATTTTTTAGTATTACTGAGGAATAACTCAAATGTACATTAGCTGGGGAACAGAGAAATACTGATATATTTAAATGATACCATACAGCATATTACACATATTATCCAGCAGTAAAAATGAATAGGCTACACATATAATATATATACACGTGTAACACAAACAAAATTGAATTAAAAACACTGCAAAACATTATGCATCACTTAAGTAAGTTATAAAACACACAAAGCAGTATTATGTATTGTTCACAGATAAGTAAATGCATCAAAAGTTAAAAAGATTAAATATGGTCTAAATAACATGCCTTAGAATTCACTATTTTAAAGACACATTAGAAGAAGCCCACTGTCACATTTATTACTATAGTGCTACTGAACACACTATTTACTATGTATGTACTAAAGCCTTCTCTTTATGTGACAGCAGTGTATACACTTGCAGGGGGAAGGCTGAAAAAAGTCAATGTTCTAATTTCCATGTCAAAAGTTTAGAAGACAAAGACAAAATCAAACTAAAAGAAAGTAGAAAGGAAATAAAGATATGAGCCAAAATCAATAAAACAGAAAAATAGTAAACAAAGACAAAAATTAGCAAAGCCCAAACTTGGTTCTTTGAAATGAAGAAAAAGAAGGGATCACAAATAACCAATATCAGCAATGAAAAAGTGGACATCACTACTATAAAGATGTTAATAAGATAATTCTGAACAACTTTCAGCAACAACTGACAACTCAGATGAAATGGACAAATTCTCAAAAGCCAACACAAAAAGAAATATACATATATATTTTAACAGGCCAATATCTATTTTAAAAATAAAATGTGTTATTAAAAACCTTCTCACAAAGTAAATTCCAAGGTCGAAAGATTTCATTAGTAAATTCCTTTATGCCTTCAAGGAAGAAACTCTTGAAAAGAGGGCAAAGACCAGGAAAACACTTCCTAACTCACTTGTGAAGTCAAAATAACCCTGATACCAAATGCGACAAAAAAAAAAGAGAGAGAGAGACATAAAGACAGAGGGAGCATGAGTGCACAATCTTATTAATGAACATAAGCGCAAAAATCCTAAATAAAGTAATAGGAAACCAATTCTAACAACATTTAAAAGTATAATACATTACAACCAAGTGAATTCATTTCAGGAATGAAAAGGAGGATTAATATCTGAAAATCAAGCAATGCAATCTACCACACTAACAGCAACACATAACAGAATAATAATAATCTGAATAATTTCAATAGTAGAGAAAGCATGTGATAACAATTAACATTCACTCACAACAAAAAAATTCAGTAAATGAAAAGGAAACTTCCTTATCTGATGAAAGATGTATATTAATCACCCCCAACACACATGCACACATACAGAAACTCAAATGGTAAACTATTAAAACTTTCCTCAAATTCTATCATTATTTCGATTCAACATTATGGTACAGGTCCTAACAAATGTAGTGAAGGGGAGGGGAGGGTAATGGAAACTTTGCAAGTGGTACGATTGTGCAGTACATGTAGAATTCACGTCCACAGGCAAATTAGTAGACTAATAAGTGAATTTACCAAGGTCACTGGAAAAACAGGTCAAAATACAAAAATCAAGTATATTTGCAAACACAACACAAACTTCGAAAACAAAAATTTAAAGTACCATTTATAACAACAAAATCACATACCTAAAATAAAGCAAATATGTACAAAAATTTACAGACAAGTACAAAAAAATTTTTAAAAAGTGCCAAATAAATAGAACAACTATTGACATACATCATGCATTGGAAGACTTGCTATAGTATGTCAATTTTTCCCAAATTCAGCAAAAAATTCAATGTAATCCCATCCAAAATTCCTGCAGGTTTCTTGCAGAAATTGACAGGTTCATTTTAATATTTACATAGATTGAAAAAGGTGAGTTAAGCAAACCTTGGAAAAGAAAAAACATGGAAGACTTACACTACCAGATGTTAATAGTTACTTTAATGCTACAGTAATTAAAACAGTATAGCCCTGGCTGGTGTAGCTCAGTGGGTTGAGCGCGGGCCCTGCGAACTAGACAATCGAGGTTCGATTCCCAGTCAGGGCACATACCGGGGTTGCTGGCTGGTTCCCTGCAGGCCAGTTCCCAGCAGGGGATGCATGAAAGGCAACCATACATTGATGTTTCTCTCCCTCTCTCCTTCCCTTCCCCTCTAAAGATAAATAAATAAAATAAAATAAAAAAAAGTATAGTAATGACATAAGGATAAGCAAAGAGACCAATGAACCAAAAGAGTCAAAAAATATATGACAAATATAACCTTAGAGTAGAGAGAAAGATGAGTTTTCAAAAAAAAAAAAAATAATCTTGACCTCCACCTCACATCATGCACAGGAATAATTTCCAGATGGCTTTGTAGCTCTAAATGTGAGAGGTCAGAAAACAAATATTTTAGAAGAAAACACTATCGAAATATACCTTACACTTTTCAACTTCTGCCATCAATTCTCCATTACTTTTCAGACTGCCCCCCTTTTAGATCAGAAGACCTCAGATCTTAAAAACTCAGATGGTCAATCCAGGTGCATATGAACTGTTAACAGCTATTTTGTCATTAAGTTACAGGAGAGGTGAACTGAATATGGTGAACCTTCTGAGAAATATCAAGTACTAAGTGGATTATCGTTGCCATCTGCTGGACACAATGTTCATTTCCACTTCAATCACATTTGCTTTAAAAAGTCCTAGTAATAAGCACATAAGACCCTAAAATGGAATCTTTTCTTAACTTCTTTTATCTAATAGGATAGAGATACTCTCTCTGAATTAAATCTGTAATCTATGTTTGTGCAACTTAATGAACCTTTGGTAACAATGGTTATTTTTTCCAAGTTACATGTTTATATGAGTATAAAAAATTACATTGCCTGAAATTCACTTAGAATTTAATATATCCACAAAGCCTACCAATTTTCCATATACCTACTGAAAATCATATTTTATATGATTTTATAATAAATAAGTCCAAGAGTCACTTTAAACACACCAAGTACACTTTAAACATGTGATATATCATATACATTATGTGCAACATTTCTTAAAATACACATGTATAAATAAATATGCATGGCAGGTCTTCTAGTACTCACCCATATTTGGTTTCCTCGCCTTCCAAGCACATGGGAAAATTGCTTAGTTTGGGTCATAAATTGTATGTGCAAGTTCCATGTGCCATCTGCAGGCCAAAGCCAGTAATTGCATGTTTGAGACTCAGGCACTCTTCCTCTACCACAGTGACAAGATGGTAAAGTCTCAAGGTAAAACAGCTTAGAACACTTAAGAGGCTGCTCTAGAGAGTTGTTCATAACTACAATAAACTTTGTAAGAATAAAAAATGTTTTATTCTGCTAAGCCCCTGAGAGTTGGCACAATGTTACCAAACCTAGCTTAAGCCAGAGTTTCTCAAATGTAGCACCACTGACATCTTGAGCTAGATACTTCTTTGCTCTGTGTGCTGTCCTGTGCATTACAGGACATTAAGCAGCATTCCTGGTTGTTTACCCTTTATTTATCAATGGCACCCCTCAATGTGACAACCAAAAATGTCTCCTGACATTGCCCTTCCCTCTACTTTGAGAACCATTAGCCTAGCTTAACCTGAATACAAATGTCTCTATGTATATATGTTCGTATTACAAATGTGTGTGTAAGAGTACACTTATTTAACCGTGCCATGTGACACAAATATATGGTTTATTGTGTATTAAGACCAGATGTTTCATAGACCCTTAATGGACATAAATTTCCATTCTTAAACTAGGAGAACTAGTTAGTTCACTAACTTAAAAATAATCCAATCAATATCACAAGTCTCTCTAGTAGGAGTGTGCAACCTGCAGCCTGCGGGCTGCATCCTGCTCAGGATGGCTATGAAAGCAGCCTAAGACAAATTTGTAAATTTACTTAAAACATTATGAGATTTTTTTTTGTGATTACATGTCATAATGTATTTAATATGTGGCCCAAGAGAACACTTCTTCCAGAGTGGCCCAGAGATGTCAAAAGGTACCACACCCCTGCTGCAGTAAGGCAAACAAATCATTCCAAAAGAGTATAGAATTCCATACATACTATGCTGTTCATTTCAGAGGACTCATAGCTCCCGACTGGGTGGACATTTCCGATGGGCTCCAAGCCCTCTTCATCCCACATGTATGTTCCATCAGAGCTATCAGATGGAGAGAGTTCAAATGAAGAACCAACTCTGTAGTCTGCATCTGGTGAAATCAAGTTATTCCCAGAATTATGTTTCGTACATTCACTCCTGTCTTCGATTGGTTATTTAAAAAGAGAGAGAGAAACAGTTATTAATTCACAAAATATAATTATTTCTCAGGTTCCAGAAATACAAATTATGTTTTTATACATATTATAAAATAATAATTTGATATATTATAGAAAAATTTTAGCATAAAGCATTCATACCTGTAGCATTTTCTAACTTCTAAACCATAAATAAACCCAAAGGTATTTCACCTACTGAAATGTTTCTCAATAGATATAAAGAAAAGTCACTGGGTCATCTTTCACTTCTGTAACATCTCAAGAAATGTAAGTAAAGCCTAATATTCTTTTAATATTTCCTAAGATACTTACATTTAAGTACTAGCCAGGGAACTCCTTCCTCTGTGTGTATCTTTTTAACCTCACAGTTGCCTCCTTATAAGGAAAAAAGTTGTTCTGGCAAACACTCCTAACTAGAACACTCTCACACAGTCAAGGGTTATACACATCTCCAGGTATGGCCCAGTGCCTTGACCAGGCCACATGCCTTTATCCAATCCCTTCAGTTTGTTCTTCTTTCAGGCTATGTGAGCACAAAGATAAATTTTCTCTGGCACTTAGTGCTAAGAAAACCAAGAATAAGAAGAAATGTTTAACATATGCTATCTCACTTTCCTTAATTAAAAAAATTAAGCTGAAAGTATTAACTATATAAATATTGCTCTAGAAAGAAATCCAAGTCTTCTGTTAAAAAAATTAAAATTTCCTAAAATAAGAAAAGTCATTAAATTAGACATAACTGCTCATTTATCCTTTGGTACAGTTTTACTCCTAAAAAATAGCAATGATCTACTATCCTAAGAACAGAGGTAGTTTAAAATGGTATGCCAGACTTCTGATCAAGATGGAGGTATAGGTAAACATGCCTCACCTCCATGAACAACGATAGCAAGAAATATAGCTACACTACAAAACAAATATCCTCAGGAACTGTCATAAAACCGAGCTATGTGGAAGTCAGACAACTAAGGATTTAAAGAAGCCACATTCCTCCAGACGGGTAGGAGAGGCAGAGACTCGGAGAGGCACACAGAGGTGTGGAAATGTGGTGCAGAGACGGGAACAGGCAGTCTCACATCCACGTGTTGTGGATAAAATAAAGGAGGAATACTTTAGGACTGAGGGATTCCAGCCCTAGAACAGACCACCCAGCCCAGGGTCCCAGCACCAGGAAGATAAATCCCCATAACTTCTGGCTGTAAAAACCAATGGGGGTTGGTGTAGCAGAAGAAACTGCGTCCTCTTAAAGGGCCCAAAACGGACACAGGACTCACACAGACCCACCCCCTCAGATTCAGCACCAGAGGAACAGCTGCAAGGGTACCAGTGACATATGAGAAGAAAGTGAAGTGCAAGTGAGAAGACAACTTCCTCCTGAACAAAACTACAGAGGCCAGGCGGTGGCACTGTCCCCTCTACTAGCCCTCCCAAACACAGAGCAAGAGTGGAGACATGGGTTGCCCGGCCCTCATGATTACCTAGGGCTCCGCCCAGTACAACTTAACAGGTATACTAAGAAGGGGAATCAGAGTAGCAGCTCTACCTAATACACAGAAACAAACACAAGGAAGCTGCCAAAATGAGAAGACAAAGAAATATGACCCAAATGAAAGAACAAAACAAAATTCCAGAAAAAGAACTAAATGAAATGGAGATAAGCAACCAATAAGATGCACAGTTCAAAACTCTATCAGGATGCTCCAGGAACTCACTGGGTACATCAATGCCATAAAAGACTCAGGAAAAAATGAAGGCTGCACTAAGTGAGATAAAGCAAAACCTACAGGGAACCAACAGTGAAGGGGATGAACCTGATAATCAAATCAATGATTTGGAACATAAGGAAGAAAAAAGCATTCAATCACAAGAGAAGGAAGGAAAAATAATTTTAAAAAAACAAGAACAGACTTAAGAACCTCTGAGACATCTTTAAATGCACCAACAACCAAATCATACAGGTGCCTGAAGAACAAGAGAAAGAGCAAGAAACTGAAAACTTACTTTAAAAAAATAATGAAAGAAAACTTCCCTAATTTGGTAAAGGAAATAGACATACAAGTCCATAGAGCACAGAGTCCCAAACAAGATGGACCCAGAAAAAACCACACCAAGACACATCATAACTAAAATGCCAAAGGTTAAAGGTAAAAAGATAATCTTAAACGCATCAAGAAAGAAGCAGAGAGTTACCTACAAGGGAGTTCCCATAAGACTGTGAGCTGATTTCTCAAAGGAAATTTTGCAGGCAAGAGACTGGCAAAAAGTATTCAAAGTGATGAAAAGCAAGGACCTACAACTTAGATTACTCTGTCCAGCAAAGCTATCATTTAGAATTGAAGGGCAAATGAAGTGTTTCCCATACAAGGTAAAACTAAATGAGTTCATCCTCACCTAGCAATTATCATATGAAATGCTAAAGGGAATTATATAAGAAAAAGAAGATGGTTAAAATAATGAATATTAAAATGGCATTAAATTCACAACTATCAATAATTGAATCCAAGTAACAAACTAAGCAAACGAGCAGAACAGGAACAGAACCATAGATATGGAGACCCTGTGGAGGGTTATCGCCTGGAAGGCAGAGGGACGAAAGAGGGAAAGGTGCAGGGATTGAGAAGCACAAATTGGTGGGTGCAAAACAGACAGGTGGATGTTAAGAACAGTACAGGAAGTGGAGTAGCCAAAGAACTCTGACAGTCAAAAAAGAACAAAGGTAAGATACTTTAGGAGAAGAATGTTTTTACTGATATTCTAAAGTTAAAAACAGGACAGGAAGCAAGAGCCACAAAAAAGAAAAATGTTGCCCCACTACTATTTTATCTAGATTCATCCCTCCATGAAATTGATAATATCATGGAATTAATAAAAGATTAATGTAAATATAAATTTACATGATCATATTGTGTTTCATATCAATATGTATCAAATTACATATCACATAACAAAAATTCAGTTATATTATCTGGGAGAAAGCATATAAACTTAAGGATATTAATATTTACCGGAAACACTTATATCTATCCAGTCATCAGTTTTACTGAAGGATTTTTCATTTTCCTTGGGGGAATCAAATATATCCTTTGATGGTACATTTTCATGCTTTTCTTCTTTGAGAGAAATTTCCTCTGGAGTTATTCGCGTTCTGTTGGAATCTTCTATATCTATAAAATCATCACTGAAGTCTTCACTTAAATCATTCTTATCAGAAGATGACAAAGAAGACAAGGAAATATCATCCACATCATCACTCAAGTATCTAATTTTAGCATCATGCTTCATGGTCTGGCCATTTTCTGTTCTATAATTATCATTTTCAATTAGCTTTTGGTCCTTGTCAGTAGCTCTGTCCTTAGCCAAAAGTGCAGTATCTTCCTCTACATATGTGCCAGCAGGTGAATTTTTATTACCATCAACTGTGATAGTCCCAGAAAATGGAGATCGACTAGATTTCAGCAGAGGGGCATGAGCCATCCTATAACCCAAACTGGAAGTTATACCTGGGCCATTTGGTATAGCCAACTTCTTTCCACTAGCAGCATAAGGCCTATTAAATCCATACCCTAGTTCATTCCCATTGAGTACTTCTGACTGCTGGGAGTTTCTTGTTAGCATAGTTGACCTCAGAGGCACTCTAATGGGCAGCTGTTGGTTCTGATAAGGCTTACTAAGATCTGCAGCTCTATTGAAGGAATGTGATCTGGTTATAGATGAAGGTGGAAGGAATGAATTCTGAATGGAATGTGAAAAACTCTGTGACCTTACCATTTTTTCACAAGTAAGAGATTTAACATTGTCTAGAGATTGTGCTAAACTTTCTCCAGAACTGCTTCTGGTAGCACAGGAGTTTGCTCTGGGCCTTTGTATGCTACCAGCCAATCGATTTCCAAAAAATCCATTCAGCTGTGATTTTGGAGCACTGATTGAAGAATATGAAGTCCTTCCTAATAATGTGCCTTTGGTGAATTTACCCAAATTAGATGGCCCAGACAAAGACTTTTGTTTGAACTCTTCTGTAGATGATACGAACATAGTGGATGGCTTTGCTAACTTTGATGTGAATAAAGAAACACTTTTCAAACCTCCCTTTATCCCATTTTTAGCAAACATTCCTTGAGCAGGTGTATGTTTTTCAGGATTAATTACTTTATCATGTGAACTTTGAGTATCATTAGACTCTTCGTTACTTTGTGCACTAAGTTGGTATTTAGTTGCCGGTCTCCAATTCAATGGATGAGATGATGGACAATCAGAGCCATTATTTTTGATGTAACTTTTCACATTGCTACTCTTGGAAGTTCCTAATAAATTAACGGCTGTCCCACTTGACATTGGCTGCAGTGTACTTCTTACAGATTTTGTTCCATACTTTGGCAACTTGGAACCCAAAAAACTCTTGATTTGTGTTTTTTCTTCCATGAGCTATAATGTACATTTGTTCTTAAAATTCAACAGAATCTGAGGAGGAAAAAAAAAAAAAACAGATTACACATCCCTAAGTAAGGACAATTACATAGATTATTACGTAATGTGAATGAACATTTTTATATATTAAATGCAACAAAGCCCCAACACTACTCATGATTCTTACAGAACTCATAAATATTGAATGCAATGATTAAATTAATAACTTTATGTTAGAAGAAAATAAAAAATATTTTTATAAACACTTTTATATACCTGATCTATAAATGATGATAGCAAAATACAGAAATAATAAAATTTGACTATTAAAGAATATATTTTTAAAAAACTACTGTAGCATATATTTTAATTTTAATCCAACTTATTTTTTCACATTAGGTACTATTATATCCTTTAACAATATGAACATGTGACTTTTTGTTTATTTATAAGCATACATGATCTTATAAAACCTAGACTACATGTTTAAATTTTCATAACTCAAGCCATGGGAAGGATACAGGTAAAGACTACAACAGCACCAAAAAATTTAATGACATTAAGGGCTGAGATATCAGCTGTAATTTTAAGCAACAATCTTAAAAGAATTTTTAGCCAGTAATATAAAAGACATACAGTTAGTGTCAGAATAAAAAGTATAATGATTTAATAAAGTTGAGTAGTCCATTAATCTCAACCTCTCCAATTTATTTTAAAGGTAATAAAACAAAGAGAAAAAGATTCAATGCACCGATAACATAAAACTAGAAACAATTAGTGTCCTTTATTTAACTGTTTAGTAAATTATGTGATATAATGACATTAAAAAGATAAAATGGAAATATTAAAATATTTACCCTAACATTAACAGAAATATGATATGGTCATAACCTATATGTTCACTGAGATTATATTAAGTTCCATTAAAGCACTCACAAGAGCGAAATGCAAAAAAAAGGAAAACTACATGTTTAAGGGTCACTGATGTTTTTAAACTTATGTATGTTATGATATTGTCTTTGTTAGTTTTATTTTTTTAATTTAAAAATTGGTTCCAAGTCATCCCTGACCTTAAGAATTTAGATAATTTCTAGAGTATATATGTTATTAATTATGTCAAAAGTAATACTTAGGAAATCATACAGACTTTCAAGTAAAGATGGTAGGGTGAAGCAGAATTACCAAACTTCTTGTCCCCAATAATTTTTTTTAAAGAAGGAAAAAAATGCATATGTGTGTATGTGTGCATGCGTGTGTATAATTTTTCTTTTTAGCAAAAAACCCACCACCTACTGTCACACAAGAAACTGCTTAAACTAAGTACCTCTAAACTTTAAAAAGTGGACAGTGACATTCTGTGCAGATGGTCTGGCTCCTAGCCTGATTACACAGCCTGGGAGCACTAGTGCGAAAAATAGGCGAGTTAATAAAACTTGAAAGTTTTAATGAACATCCTCCGGTTTGGAAGGAACAATCCAACTTGGCATGCCCTAGAAGAGTCTAGGAAACATCTTCAGCACAGAAGCTTTGAAATCTCAGCGGAGGCAGAGTGGCCACCAGAACCTGTTGACTTCCAAGGCACTATTCTGAACCACGGGAAGAGTCTGCTACTACAAGTATATTATTTGCACCCTCAACAGGATGGAGTGAGAACACTTACCAAAATCTAAAGAAACAGGAAAGACAGAGAGCCTGACGTGTCGGAAAAGCTCTTCCCCCAACACCACTTTCTACCCTTCTACTAAAGAGAATACGGAAGAGCAACACAAGGCATATTCAAGGGGTGCAGTAAAAGAAGGAAACAGAGCTAAGGTGAAAAAGGCTTGGGGCAGTAACTTGTTACAACAGGGCAAATACAATGATCTAGCTGTCTAATCCTGCACCTACCAAGATAAAAAGTAATTGCCACTCAACTGTATATGTAACAAGTGGATTCTTTTGACACTGTTTCTGTAAGTGCTGACTCTAATAGACATAAGCTTGAAGATGAAGAGCACGTTTGTATAAGAATCCTAGGAACTAAATTCAAAAGATACAGACTCCGACCTTGAGGCATTCTAACTCTGGGAGATTTGCTGACTGACCTTTGAAAATGAAGCCAGGATCACATAACATCAGGATGATGTAAGCCCAGGATGACTAACCCAGGATGATGCATACTGGACCATCATTTGCCTTATCAGAATGGACTGTGCTAGTCTTTACATAGAAAACTTTTCAACCTCCTTCCTTGATCTGTTTGTTCTGTTCGCCTCTCCCTTCACTGAGATGGTAGGAATGGGCTTTGAGACCTGAGTCTTGCATCTTCCAGGTAGCCAGCACCTAAAAATAAACCACTTTTCTTTACATCAGCACCTGCTTCTGGTGTATTGGCTTTCATAGCAGCAGGCAGCCGGAATGGCAGTTTGGTTACATATAAACAAGGGGGTGGAAGGAAGGAGAGATACAAATAATGACTATAGCATGAAAAACAAAGGAAGAACCCAGTCTGAAAAGAAAAAAAAACATAAAAAAGAAAATAAGGAAATCTCCAGTGAGTTCTTTGTAAAGAGAATAACCTACGAAGAACATATATTTAATAAAACAAAAGCTCAAAGATGAAAAGACAAACCAGGTAAACTGAGAAGTTATAGAGCTAAAGAAATCAATTAACAGGAACAACAAATTTGGTAGGGGAAGGAACAACAACAAAAAAAGAACCAAAGGCAAAAAAAATCAAACTGATGGCAACAATAAAAATCTTAAAATAACCTGAGTATTGAGGGGGAAAAAAGAAAAATACATCAAAGCAGTTAGACAGAAGATGTAGGACAGACACTGAAGAGAAACACAATTAGTATAGCTGAAGTAAGATACCTGAGTAGAAGAGAAAAAGCACACAGACATAATAGAAAATATCCTTAAAATAAAGAAGAAAAAAGTTCTCTTCTACAGAAGAGAAGGAAAAGTAAACTAAACCACAGATTCAAATACATATTGAGGCTAAGTTGATAAAATACAAAAAATAAAGACAATTCTCCAAGAATAAAGGCAGAAAAAAATCATGTTGTAAAGAAAATCTTAAGACTTCGGAATAAGCAAGAGAGTACTGGATATCCTTCCAATGAAATGGCTGGAGCCTCCATGGTAATTTAATCCTACAGGAATTATCATTGGGCTATTTTACAACTCTGTGAAAACAGAGGTTAACATATAGAAAATTAACAGTAATGCATATAATTATTGTCCACAGATATGCAAGTAAATTGTCTTAAACAGATGACTTCCTTCCACGGCTATGGAAGCCAGCCTTGTATCCGTTTGCAAATTCACTTTAAATATACCTGTTCTTTGCATTCTCCTTTGAACCAGCTATAATATCTCTGACTACCTTGTAAATAATAAGATAAGTAAAATCTTAAACATGTGTTCATTTGATATCTGAATGGAAGTCATAAATTTTTCTTTTCTAAAATATAACCTCTAACAGTTTGGAAATTCCACCAAGATTCCCAGTAGATTCACCCAACAGAGCTGGGTCATTTCTTTGCCAGAATGGTACACATCACAGCCTAAGCCCAGATATGGCTATATCTTCCAGAAGTGAATTAAGAACAGCAACAGAACTTTGCTAACTCTGTCTTTCTCATTTTAATTTGCTTCTCTTCTAATTTTGTCTCGTTTTTGCTTTTAGTTTTGGGGTTTGGGTTTTTTTATGGTAAGCTATTTCCCTTGGTGATAACGATGATTGTGAATTTGATTATATAGATTCTCATTTAGGAATCTTTATGAACAAATTAATGGTTACATGGGTATTCAACCCATGGCCCGCGGGCTGAATGCGGCCCAACACAAAATCATAAATTTACTTAAAATCTTTTATTTTTGTGCTCACCAGTTTTTGTTAGTGTTTGTGTATTTATGTTGAAGCCCAATTCAACTCTTCTTGTTCCATTTTGGCCCAGAGATGCAGAAAATCTGGACACCCCTGGCACATACCTGTTCTGTGTTGGGTGAGACAAAAAGGAAAATCTGATTCATTAGTTACTTGTTCATTTATCTCTTTTGTGTACCTGTTTTGAGCTCAAATCAACTTAGAATGCCATGCTGACAGAAAGGAGAACAGCTTTTTGGTATCTGGATAGGTCCAGTTTTATATTTCTGTGTTAACTCTACAGCCATGGCTAAAATTGTAAAGCTGGAAATGATAAGGCCTGTTGGTGCTTGTATGGTTATGTGTCTATAATTCATAAAGGTCTTTACCTTTCTTTGTGAGTGTAGAAGCCTTTCCTAACTACGGAGGTTACTAATAAATTATATTATAAAAACTTATAAAGCAACTCTGTTCTGATTGGCTTACAGAGAGATAAATATGCAGTTATATAAATTGAATATTACCAAAATTCCCAGAAAATAAGTAAGCTTGTCTAATATTTTAATTGTGTTATACTTTCTTTATTACTATTACAGAAACTGACTCAGAAAGGTTTTAAGAACCAAGTTCATATAATTAGATCATTACAAAGTAAGAGAGAATGCTAAAAGATTGATAAGCATAATTTCAAGTTCATATGCTTTTGCTTCTTGTTATATGCTACATACAGAATGTATCTTTGGAACACATAATTAATGTGTTCATTTTTGTTATGCTGAGAATTGTACGCTGGATCCCATTTTTATAAAAGTAACTTATGATAGAAATAGATATCACATAAAGATATGTGTGTAAATATATGTAAACACAATAAACTGTTAATAGTAGTTACCATGAGAGAAGTGAGAATTAGGTAAAAGGAGGCTTCTTTTTACCTTTAAATCATTATTATTTATATATTTGCATATGTTCACATTCTTTCCATTTAAAAAACTTTTAACTAAAAACTGAATTTTAAAAATAAAACCCATCTATTCAATACCAAAACAAGACTTAACAGTTCAATCTAACCAACAAATTATTTAAAATTAAGTTTAATATTATATAGAATATATTTAAAGGACATAACAGAATAATATTCAGTAAAAAATATTTTTTATTTAATAGATTCCATTTCATAATTCCACTTTATAAATTCCAT